CCCTCTCCGCCCCGCAGGGTTCGCTCCGTCCCGCTGCCGCCCTCTCCGCAGCGCCTTCGCTTTTGCACCTCCTCCCGCAGTTCCGTCGGGAAAAAACCCCAAACCAACAGCCCTAAACCCGTAATATTGCAGCAGATGTGCAGGGAGCTGCTGTTGAGTAGCTCCTGAGAGCTGTTGTTTTTTTTATTTACAGCGGGACGGTCACGGCAGTGCAGAGAGGCCAGCGCCGTTTTTTGCCAAAGTTTGATGTAGGGAGTTTAAAACCCAACTCCAAATACTCACCCGGTACTCACTCTCTCAGCTCTCCCAAGTCCCAGCCAAATCTTGACTTTAGGCTCATCAAAAAAAATACGAAAATAAACCACAATGTGGGAACAGAGCCATTGCTGTGACCTTTCAATCCAAGAGCGTTTGCAAAATACTACCCAGTGGCTTGTTTTGAAATACTTGGTATTCTTACACTGGGTGTGTAATGAAGCACAGTTTGATGCTGTCTAGTGCTCAGCCTGTGGCAACACTTTTAAACACGTTTTGCACAAGTTATTTATTGACTGCTTGAAGAGGACTTAAACTCTGAGATCAAAGGCAAAGCGATGAAAATTCAGGAGGAACCATGGGCCAAAATATGGATTTGCCTCATTCATGGGGATTCATTGGTATCTGCAGTGTGGTAGGAGCCTGTTAGGTCCTTACTGCTGCTGCCTGGTCCAGTCCTTCGTGGTAGATACTGCTCTCTCATCAGCTAAGTGCCAGGAGAGCTGAGAGCCACATGCTGGTTAAATGTCTGTGACTTTAGTGGCAGTTGTTGTGCCAGCCTTAAGTACGATGGGTGACTTCTGAGGGAGAGAAGATGCTGTTCAGCCTCACAGCGGGCTGCCCGTGCAATTTGTGTTCCAGAATGGATGAGAACTACATCCTCCTGCCGCACGGAGTCAACTTCCAAGAGGCGATTTTCCCAGACACCCAGGAGAACAGAAGGATGTTTGCCAGCCTTTTCCAGTTTTCTAACTGTTCGCAGGCACAGCACGTGTTGAGCTTCTCCAGTGACTGGGAGATTCAAGAAGACAACCGGGTAAGGGATTTATTTGCTCTCTAGGACTTGTTTTCCAAGTGGGCACAGGTATTCCCACGTCATTTGCAAACATATATATATGAATGCAGAGCAGCAGGTCCCTGGTTTTCCTGGTCCTTTGGTGGTATCACTGCCAAAGTAACACGCTGGTGGGGAAATATTAAACTTTGTTTTCAAAGCTGACCTCTGTGTTAGCCCTAGCTTGCTATGGACCTGAGCAAAGTTTGGTATCAACACATTCATGTGCAGTATCTTGGAAACTAGCACTGCTTGCGATCCTGTCCTACTCCACCCTGGTCATTGCTGGGTTTGCTATCTCTAGATCCCATACTTTAACTTCAGCTGAAATACTCAGGAGCAAAGCTTTGCTTTTTCATTTCTGTGTTCATCTTGTCATGAGAGCAGTGCAGGCACCATGATAGACTGTAAGGGATTATTCCTGCCTAACTCCACATAACAGCATAAACATCTACTGAACTAATCACCCTAAGCTGTCTTTGTAGCAGCCGGGGAAAAATAGACTGTTGAGGGCAAGTTCTATCTGAGTGGTGAAGGCATGGTTTGATCTGAATGACGCCGGCACCTACTTCTGAACAAGCCAAATGAAATGCCTCTTTCTGCTCTCAAAGGAGGCCACAGCAAGTAGTTCACCCTTTAGGCGATCCTCTTAAGAGTGGAATACGTTTTTTTAGTACAGAAAGTCCAGCAGTGCCTGTTGTTAGTGGCTTCTGAGCCTCTTTATGGAGCTGTAGTGTGTATAATAAATGCAGGATTTTAAGAAATACTTCCTTGGCAGCAAGAAACAACCTGCAGTTGTGTGTGTGCGTGTTTGGGATGTATTTGCAAAGGAGGAATTTGGAGAGCTGTTTTAGTGCCAAACCTTATTTTTTGAGGCTAGTGGTTTCCACTGGTAGCCGAGAATATTTTAAGTGTCTCTTTAGGTCAGGATGAAGAGGACATGTGCCATTTCTTGTGCTTTCTGTGAATTCATCCAAGGTACAATAGTTATGTGTGGGAGCAGAAGCACTAGTAGCTTGTTTGGGAGATGGAGGGAGGAAGCTTGGTAGCTGGCTCAGCCCTTTACCTTCACTAGCTGGCCAGTGGCCAGCAGACAAAGTTTGAGCTGCTGCGTGGCCATCTAGCCAGTGACACAACCTCGCTCCTTGGGATGCCCAGTAAGAGAGTGTTTTCTCACAGCTGATACTTTGGGGACAGAGTGGGGAATGGCAATGTTCAAATATATGTTTGAGGACAGCAGCAGGAAGTGATCTTCTTGCAATTAGATTGCAGAGCCGTAACCCTGGCTGGGCAAGAAGGGGGGATGTGGAGAGCCCTGGTCCAAATCCTGCCTCCTCCCTGCCGGCCCACAGGCTCCCCTGCGCCTCAAGCAATGTATTTGGCAAGTAAAAGTGTTGCTGCTGCCAAATCCACAGATTTTGCTCTGGGAGAGCAAAGTGACATTGCGGGACCAGCAAATCCAACTCCCAATGTCTGCTCATGATGCCTCTGCACCGTTTATGTAGCTGTGCTAAGTGTAGGGGATCTTGATGGATTGGTGCTCGTTTATGCCAGCAGTGAATCTGGCTGGTTAGCTTTAATGGAAATCACAAGGCAGAAACCCCCAGGGTAAGTTGGGGCAGCCGAAAGCTTATCAAAAGTGCATTTCAGCTGTTGTGCTCTTTGACCCCACGCAGCTGTGAGCAGACTTGGCAGGGATTAGAGCTGCTGGTCGCAAAAGCAGGGGCTGGGGTCTTTACATACTTCAACATCCACCCATCGGGGGAATAAATTCAGCACAACTGATGGGCACTTTGTCTCTCCTTCGTCATGAAAAGCAAAAGCTTCCTCTGCACCAGTTAAAAATAGTTTGGGCTGACTGTGCTTCCATTCAGCTTCTGCATCTGTGTTTGCCCAGCCAAGTGCCGGCTCCTGGTGCCTGTTGTCCCAGCCTGGGAAAGGGGTGGTGTTTCTGGCTGCCATGGTGTTACTGGGAATTTCTTCCCCAATTCTTCCCAGTGCAGGTGTCTGGAGAGCAGCTGTTTTTATTGTTTTGCCCCTCTCTTTACCTTGTCACATCTGATGGTGATTTTCCCAATGGCCAACATGTCTGCTCACATCCCACCACAGTGTGAACAACTTCCATTTGTACATGCACTTGGTGGTACTGGCTCCAGAGCTGAAACCTGTGGCATGTGCGGACTTTGTGGCACAGAAAGTGAGCATTACTTGGAGCATTATTCTTGAAGCTTTTTGGAAGGCTCTGGGGATGTACAAGGGGGCTTCTGTGATGACGTCAAGTTGTGAAGAGCTTGAACAGAGAGGGAACAGTCTTCTGATGAAGGTCACACTGCAGCAAGGAGTCTCACTATCAGCTGTGTACTGACATAAATTACTAGTTAAAATCCATCATAAACATTTTGTGCAGTCAGAGGGAAGAGATGGAGATGCTGAGATGCTCAGAGCAGAAGGCAGCTGGGGTGAAGGCCTGGTTCCAGCTGTTAGTGACTGAGGTCTTGGGACAGCTGCATGCAGGGACCCCTTAAAAAAGCAGCATGCCCAAATAGGTTTGGTATAGAGGAGTGATGAAATCTTCTGTTTATAGCTGGATCCCACGCTCCAAAAGACTTTTTGAATCCCTGTATTTGCCTATGGCCCTGTGCCCTACTCTTGATATATTTCTGGGATGGACATTTTAAGGGAGAATTTGGCGCTAGAAACATGTGCAGTTGCAAGGAGTAATTCATGTTTGTAGCTCTGGGTTGCTCAGCCAGAAGGTAAGAGAGCTCCGTGATGGGTGAACAACTTCAGTCTCCCATAATGCTGCTCCCAGCAAGAGCTCCCTTCCGCAGGGTGTGCCTGAGCCACCTACAGAGCAGCAGGACATGCTGTCCTCCTGCTTGCTCTCTTCTCTCTGCAGTGCTCCTTGTGTGTAGGCAGCCTTGTCTGAACTTTCTCAATGGGTGAAATGAGGAAAACACTGACAGCTCCTTCTCCTCCACTCAGCCAACATATCTGATAACACAAAAGAGAGCAAAGAGATGTGCAGGAACTTCTAGATGCACCAGAGTGCACAACCTGCCTTTTCCATTGCAGGAAAGCCTTTTTCATTTTCGGAAACCCTCACGACATCTGGTGACAGGAGGCCAGACCCAAGGCACATCTTGCTGGGGGTAACACTTTCCTTGTCTTGGGCCTGCTGCTGTCTCTAGAAGCTAATTGCAGCTGCATTTTTAAGCCCCTTGTAGTCTGGGCTGAGGGCCAGATGCTGCTTTCCATAGCTTTTCAGTAACCCCACAGTCTCATAAATTCACTCAGGTGCTTGTTCTGGCCAGTCTGGAGAGCAACGGTAGCTCTGGCTGGCGTTTCCTTAAGGCACTTGCAATTTGGTTTCCAGATTTGCAGCAGCAGTAATGAATTGGGCTCCATCCTGACTTTTCTCACAGCCCCTCAGTGATGTTTGCAGACATTGTGCTTTACTCCAGCTTGCTGTCTCAGCGGTTTCCACAAGGTTGTTGCTGAAACCTCAAGTTCCCACCAGGCTTGGAGTGGGAGCTGAGTTTGTAATGAGTGGCTGCAACTTATTGCAGAGCAAGGGGCCCCTTCTTGCAGCACGTTGCATGTACCTGGGGCCCCAGAGCTGATGTTGATGGAGATAATAGCACAGGAACTCTCCTTTCTCCCTTTCAGAATTACAGTTTTAGTCAAGTCTTCCCAACCTCTGCCCCTGGGAAAAATGCAGTATTCGCCTATCCGAGGAATCTTGCAGTCACAGCAGTTTCTTTTAATAAGGTGCTTTTATTAAAGACAGGAACAATTAAGAAGTAATAAAAACCTGATTAAAATTCTTAAAAGCTCCGTGTTTTTACCCAGGTCTCATGCTGACCCCCTGAGGGAAGACCCACAGACCTATGAAAGAGTTTGTGAAGTCTGACAGCCTCCTACGTGGGCATGCCGGGCTGTCCTGTGCAGCCTCCAGGTCACCCCTGCCTTGTGAAATCACCCCAGACATCCCTTTTCCTTTACCCCCTGCTTCCCTCAGTGCCCCTAAAATTGCTCGCGGACCCCTGCCTGCCACCCAGATATTCTCCAGTGCTGGTGTTTCATTCCTGATACTTTAAGGGAGCAGCCTTGTGACGTTTTCTTGCTCAAAAGGGGTCCAAGGGGTCAGATTTTTTGTGTGGGAGATAGGGATGAGCATTCAGCGGTGCAGCCAGCACCCTCCTTCAGGGATGGTGAGGGGGAATGGAAAAATTCCAAAGGCCCAGAGAACATCCATATGTGCCAATGCCTCTTTCTCAAGACAAATTTTTCTTATGGCTAAGGGACAAATGACAGGCAGAGAACTGTTTTCTGCTTGCTCACGCTGGGAGGTGGGAATTGTCCCTGTGGTTTCTCGGCTCTCGCAGTGCCTGCTGCGGAGCGGGGGCCGATGCAGTTTGTTGGGATTGAAATCTTATTCCCCCGCAGAGTTTCACCTTTTTAGTGCAAATCTAGAGGCTGTAATTTCTCCTCCTGACTTGGCTTTCTGCAGGGTGGTGCGATTTCTTAAATAAGACCTCATTGCCTTGTCTGCATATGAGGGATTACACCGAAGTCTTTTGGCCTCTGTTCCAGCTGGCTGTGAGCTGCAAAAGTCCTCGTGAGCTGGGGCAGTGCGGTGCGTTACAGGACACTTTCCTCCCGTTTTTCACATGGGAGAGTTGCAAAATGATGCCATGTCCATCATAAAGAGGGAATTAACAGCAGCATGTCGAACTGTTTGTGGCCAACTGTGAGAGCACTAGTGCTTTGATCAAGTCTAGCGAGCTGAAGGAGTCCAATAACTTCAGTTAAGTCCAGTGACATTACAGGGTGACGTTATATTTTTTATTAAGCCTCTCTCCCTGCGTTGCCTCTCCTTCTCTAAAGTGTCAGAGCCAGAACCACACTGTTGCTTCAGTTGATTTAGGGGAACGGACTTGCCTTCTGAGAGATCTCCAGAGATTTATCCGAGTAATAAT